AATTTCATATCAACAAGTTCATCCAAGTTCATCAAGATCTTCAAGAGGTATGTGAAAATTTCCACCTTTTGATTTATTATTGTAGATCCGAAAGCATGCCTAGGTGTTTATATGTTTAAATTTCTGAAGTTTTAACTTCACCTAGGGGTAGACAAATTTGAACTTGAAATTGAATTATCCTTGGGGTAGAATGGCTATGCCCAGCCAAAATTAAGGATTATTTTTGGATTTCTGGGGTTTAATTTTGGGTAGGGGTAGACGGATTTCTGATTTTTTTTTTTTTTTTTTTTTTTTTTTTTTTTTTTTTTTTTTTTTGAATTTTCGGCTAACTGGATGTTTGGCTGAGGGGGTAGTAATTGGCTGAGAGGGGTAATTGCCAGCCGAGGGGGTGCTAGTTGCTTGGGGCTGCCGCATATGCCGAGGAGAAGGAGTGATGAGGGTGCCGAGGGATGTGAGGTATTGAGAGAACGAGGGACTCGACCTTGCCCAGGCCGAGGGAGGGAGAGATGCGAGCGAGAGAAATATGCGGGAGAGAGAGAGCTAGGTGAGAGGGTCCCTCGGCTATGCCTAGGGGGTTGCTGTGCGGAGTGTGCGAAGCCGAGAGGGTCGCTGGTGCTGCTGAGGGGTTTTCCTTGGGAGTTTCGGGTTCGAGAGTTTAATTAGGAGTGATAGCTGGAGAGAGAGAGAGTAAGAGAAGGCCGAGAAAGGAGAGTGAGAGCTAAACTCGACTTGGCTGATGCCAAGCTGAGGGGGTTGGGATGTGCCGAGGGGGTGCTCAGCGCACTTAGGGGCAGGCTGATCCCTCGGCTTATGCGGAAGCTGAGAGGTGAATAGATAGAGGGAGAGCTGGGTTTGGTGCCGCTGATCGAGGGATTACCCCCAGCTCTCGGCACTTGGGTAGAGTAAATGAGGAGCCGAGGGTGCGAGCAGCCGAGGGGATGGCTGGTGCGCCGAAGGGGTATGCGGTGCATAGACTGGCGATTCCGAGGGATTTAACTTAGAATTTTTTGGGTTAAATTGGGAGTGGGAGCCGAAATTAGGCTGAGAGCTAGGATGTGAAATGTCAAGAGGGTAGCTGGCGCGCCTATAGCTCATAGGCCGAGGGGGTAAGAGAGATGGCCGAGAGGGTTAGCACCAGCCGAGGGATGTTGTTGTGCGGCCGAGGGCTTGCCTTGCGGAGCGCAACTCTCAGACTTTAGCATCTAAGCAATTTATTTAAGTTATGAGTGATGTTCGATAGGGTAGCTGGCGGCCGAGGGGTTTAACTTTAGAGTGAGAGCCGAACATGGTGAGTGAGTGCCCAAGGGTGAGCTGTGCGAGAGACCAAGGGATTTTTAGAGCAGGCCGAGGGATTTAATTAAGTGGGGGGTGCACGAGTTTGATAGAAAGCCTTGGAGAGAGGATAGATGAAATATGAGGCGACTTCACCTAAGTAATGAGGGGTGATTGGCTTGTCTATGAATGTTTTTCTAACACTTGAAATTTTTGTTGTTATTGCAGGAGTATTTCTCTCCGGGGTACACTTGACTTTGCCTCGAGAAATCCTTTCGGCCTCTCTGACTAGTTGGTGAGCCTTCAATACTTGGTCTTTATTCTCTAAGTATCATGTCTCCATGTTTAGTAATTGTTTGCTACTTTTTCCTTGTATGCTTGCTTGTTCCTCGGCTGCGCTTTTGATGATGTTAGGCTTAGAGGTACGCCTGTTGTATTTTTGTATGTACATTGAGGACTCCTCGGGGTAGTCTTGAGTTGAGCTATGCATGTATCATGAACGACCAAGCGACTCAAGATTACCTTGACTCTCTCCCCGACCCTTCATCTTATGATTTGTTTAAGGAAATGTGGGCGGGGGAGTGCTTGTAACAAATGTAATTGGTATTAGTGTTGATTCTTCTGTTCCTTTGGGTGTGCCTTATCCATGTGTGTCATCCCCACCCCCCGAGCATGATTTAGGCTTTGATTATTTTTTGCCTCCTTCCCCTTGGGAAGTTTCTCTTGCACGTGAACCGACTTCTAGAGGTTCTTTGAACAGATTTCTTGTTGACGGAGTGGTGACAATGTCAAGTGAGGATGATACTTCGGCTTCACTTGGGGCGCCGGTGGCCTTTAAACCCCCTGTTAGGAGAGTTAGCCCTTCTATGTGTTACCCCTCCACTTCTTGGCTTAGGTCTTTGTCTGAGGGTACTAGGCATTTGCATACTAAGTACCACATTAGGGAGCCTTTTCTCATTTCCCCTCCTGGGGGTGATAGCACTGTAGATAACCCTCCCCCGGGGTGTATAGCTGTATATAGGCAATGCTTGGACAATGGGTTGAGATTTCCGCTACACCCTTTCATTGAGGAGTTGTTGATCGAGTATAACCTTAGCATAACTCAGCTTGTCCCTAACTCCTGGTTGACAATCAACGCATACATAGCCACTTGTAGTTTGCTTGGAGCCCCTTGTACCATAACTGCCTTTAGGAACACACATAGGATTCAGGAGGTCCCGGGCAATGTAGATATCCATGGGTGGTATGCTTTTCATGATAGGGAGTTCTATCTCACCATAAACACCAAACCCACGAGTCAAAAGGGCTTTCGCCATACCTTTCTCTTCGTCTACCATGCTGGGGGTTGGAGGGTTCCCCGAGACCATAGCGGAATACCTCGGGTTGGCTTGAACTACAATGTCCCTGCCATGGAGGTTGATGAGGCCGTGACGGCTGTTTGGTTGCAATCTTATAAGGAGAGAGGGTCCAAAGAGAAGCTTCCCACCATGTGGATTTTGAAGGATAAACACTTCCAGAAAAAGCGATTTTTGAGTGTGGTGGGCTTGAGCCACACCTATGATGGTGGTAGGGTTTATTTTTGTTTTACTTATGTTTTTTCCACTTCCATGCTTTCTCCTGGGCCTTGTTGTTCACTAACATATTTATGCAAATGATGATTTCAGGGGTTGCTTTCAAGCAGTTGGCAAAGAGATTTCAGAAGAAAATGTCTGAAATGAATTTTTGAGCTGCGAAGGTCAAGTCTTCCATGAGGAAGGGGGATATGAGCGTTCATCCCCCTCCCCAGGTATGCCTCCTTCCCAGGAGTTGGCTTTACAAAATGTTACTTTCTTGCTAACTTTACTTGTGATTTGTTCTTTCAGAACCCAAAGAATTCCAAGCTGAGGAGGAAAACAGCTGGGAGGGGAGAAGGATCCTCCCAAGCTACCTCCAACATGGAGATAGATGATTTGGGGTCCCAGCTTGTCTCCCCGACCGGCTCCACTTACATCGAGCTCCTGGAGGCCGAGGGCTTTGGAGATCGAGGAAAGCAGCCTCGGGAAGAGGAGAGCGAGGAGGAAGGGGGGAGAACTATGAGGACATGACCCCTTACTTCCCTAAATCTCTCCTCGGCATCACAAAAAGGGGTCGAAAGAAAACCGTGAGGCAAGCCATGGCCCGGTTTCCTTCGGCTAAGGACATCGAGGTAGTGGAGAAGGATCCCACCAAGGCTATCTCCTCGGCGTTCGATGGCGTCTTGAAGGTATACTTTGCTATATAACATCGAATTTTTCTATCTTACTTTAGTTGCAACTAACACTCATCTTATTGATTTTTAAAAATGTAGGTTGGCATGACTTTGAGCGTGCTTGCCGAGAAGTACCGGAGGGGGGCCATGGAAGATGTTGAGGGTCTCCGTGCTGAGCTTTCGAAGGCTAGGACCGAGATCCATGGTCTTAAGGAGGAGCTCAATTCGGCTCGGAAGACGGTGAAGTCGGCCAAGAAGGAGCTTGCTGATGCTCAGGAGGCCGGGACATCCCGCATTCAAGCCTTTGAGACTCAGCTCAAGGAGGCTAAGGAAGAGAAGGAGAAAATCGCCAAGGAGCTGAAGGAGAGGAAGGATGAGCTGGCTCAGATGAAGAGCGACCTTGCTGAGGCTCAGAGGAAGGTAGAGCAAAGTCAGGAGGAGGTGATTGCTGAATGGAAGAAGACTCTGGCTTGTGCTAATTTCCAATCCGAGATTGGATACATGGCCTTTGAGGCGGGGATTGAGGATGCCCTGACTCATATGCAGGTTTCCTTCACTACCTTCGGTCTCAAGGACTCATATTCGAAGGTACGAGGCAAGGTCAAGGACCTCGTTCGGGAGGCCGAGGAGGAGGAGCAGAGGAAGTTTCTTGCTGAGGAGGATATGACTGAGGAGTAGCTTCTCCAGACCTTGGCTTTATCTTCACCTATTTCTCTTAGGATGTCTTCTTTTCTATGAAACTTATGATGTTTTTGCTGGAACTTTTAGATATCTACCTCGGCTTGTATATTTGTACATTCGACTTTTACTTGGGCTTTTCTTATTCGTAGTAGATTTTATGTGCTCAACCTCCAGCTTGTTTGTCGTTTAATACCTGTTTTCTGCTTGCCTACTCACCCCTAGGGGCAAAAAAGAAGCCCCTAGGCTTTTCTAGTAACTTAGACATAAACGAGGGCTAAAACGAGCCTTATGTTATTTTTGTAAGGGTGTGATTTGTGTGATCATTCGGGGGCTAAACGAGCCCAAGTCATAATTTAACTAAGTAAATGTCTGCTATACCGAAGTGAAAAACGATTTTGGGGCTAACATAAGCCCCAAGTTATAAGAGTTACACTTTTTTTAACCTTTTGAATTAGGCTGGGGGCTAAATGAGCCCCAAGTTATGAGTGATCTTTCGGCCATGACACTATCTCAAATGATTGAGTATAGGCTAGCATCTTGCCCCAAACATTGGAACAAACTTTAGTGTTTAGCGAACCGAAATGCCCTATGTCCGGCATGCGGTGCTATTAAATGAACGTTGGCTAAGCTAATGAGCGATATAAAAGTTTCGAAAAATAAGCTAAGTAGAATGCAAAATACATGGGGCAAACATCCCAATCGGGGGTTTTTCATTATATTAACAGAAATATGAAAGTCATTACAATGATGCGCTATATTGAAGTTGATCTCCTAGCATTGGCTCTTATTGCCCCTAGGGCATCATTGTGATGAAGATGCACTAAACATAAAACCTCCGGAGGTTGTCTGCATTCCATGGCCGAGGGAGGACCTTGCCATCAGGGGTTTGTAAGCGATAGGTTCCCGGGCGGACTATTTCTGTAATCTTGTAGGGGCCTTCCCAATTGGGGCTTAGCTTGTCAAGGGCTCTTTTGAGCTCTCTGCAGTTCCGGGTGGTATGGCCACACTCCTTGTGGTATTCACACCAAAGCTTCTTGTTCCTCTGCTCTATCGGCGTGTTCATGGGGTTAGGCTTAGGAAGAATAGCCTTATGCTTTATGTCTAGGTAGATCTCACGCCTGTCAGCATTGTACTTAAGTCCTTCATCATCACTCTCAGCTCTCCTCGACCTTCTATTCCGGTTGTCATGATAATTATCCTCTTGCTTTCTCTTCCCCTTGTTGTTTGCCACGGGTGCCTTGCACACCTCACTAGCTTCAATGATCCATTCAGCTCTCTCCATAGCTTCAGAGAAGGTGCTCACCTTGTCATGGACAAGTTCAAATTTCAGCTTGTTAGACTTGAGCCCAAAGAGAAGGGCTGTGAAAGCAACATTGTCTTGGAGGTCAGGGATGAGCTGAGACTCAGTGTTAAACCTCTTGATGTAGTCCTTAAGACTTTCATTCTCCCCTTGCTTCACCGTCATCAAATGAACGCTAGTCTTTGTTTGCCTACTCCCAGCGATGAAGTGCTTTTTGAACTGAGTGGCTAACATGTCAAACGTCCTTATGCTCTCGGGGTAAGGTTGTTGAACCATGTCTGAGTTATTCCCTTGAGAGTAGTAGGGAAGAACCTGCACCATGAAGCTTCACACCCGGTTTGGACTCCCATCTGTGCTTTGTAAGCGTTCAGATGGTCAGTCGGGTCTGTCTTTCCATCATAAGGGTCCAATGTAGGGATCTTGACCTTAGGAGGAATAGGGGTATTCATTATCTCTTGGCTGAAGGGGGTGATGTTCTTGACAATCCCGAGCCTCCGGGGCCTGGGGGAGGAAGGACGCTTAGGGATTTTACTTACTGAACGAGCGGGCTGATCAACTCCTCTTTTTGGTCTGGAGGTAGCCGAGTGAATCATGCTATCTCGGTACCTTGTTGACCCATGCCGAGAGTGAACTCTAGTTCGACCTCTCTAGGGGAGGTTGTTATCTTCCTTGGAGTTCTCCCTCTTGGAGTTGATTATCTCTCGGGCATCTAAAGTGCCATCCTTTAGCCTTCGATCATTGATGATCTCTCTAGCATCTCTTGGCTTCCTGGGCTGCCTTGTCTCCCGCTCGGGGTCATGGGACTGATCGGGCTGAGAGCGGCGAGATGTCTGAGGCCGAGAGGAGACTTGATGGATATGGGACACATGAGGAGGAGGATTAGGATGTGGAGCGCTCCCCTGCCTGCCTTGCCCCACTCCTTGGTTGATAAGTGCCTTGAGGCTTTCCTCCAAGTATCTGTTGATTTGGGCTGCCAGCTGGTCTAAGTCTCGGCGAGTAACCACCTGGGGGCTGTTCACTTCTCTCTCCGGCTCACTATGAGTCCTAGGTAAAATTTCTTCGACTACGTGAGGGTTCCTAGCCGAGAGAATTGGAGCTTGCCTAATGGCATCTTGATGAGAGCTACGGGGATGCCTAGTGTTCACCATGACTTTTTGTTTGTTATCCCCACAGACGGCGCCACCTGTTTCTGGAAACAGAATGCTCCTGAGAGTCTTAAGGTAATAAAGGTAATCAAGATGTCCTAGAACTATGTCCAATATGTGTCCGAATTTCCCTCAGCTACGCCTTGCTGTCCGAGAGCTAGGCCTGCAAAAGAAAGAAGGTTAACTACCCCGGGGGTGTGACCCGGGAAAGCCCCTCCGATGCTTAAGTCAGCGAACGTACTTTCTAGTGAGAGAAAGTAGAGAGAGAAAAAGCACTTTAGAGAGATAAAGTAGAGAGAGAAGATTAGAGAATTAGGAAAAAGTTACCATCATCAATGATTGGAGAGCTATTTATAGATGTACTTTCAGGTCACTGGGCTTAGGATAATGGACTAGGCCCAAACAGACGGCAAGCGAATAGATGAAGAGGCGTCTCTTTATTTTTATTAACCACACTAACCGATTTCTGATCATACGTTAGCAATCGTTTCACCAGATTAATGTTATTATTCGATTCGAGGGCTTCATGGAGAGCCGTATTACCATCCTCATTCTGCACCAACCATGGCGAGTCGAAACGAGCTCCCTTAACGCTAGCCTCGTATTCAAGTTTAACGATACACTGATTGCACTTCTCTAGTAACAATGGCAAAAGATTTGATCGCCATAATGTTGAGAAAACATAGTCGGGGTTACCATCGTTATCATTGTGTCGCGCATTATCCTGATCTTCTGAAGCAACATAGATTGTGGTATCAGGATGATTTCGCACAAGGATATGAATCGGAGTGTCTCCTTTACTGTCTGTTTGACGAATAAGTGATGGAAAGCTTTCGAGTGCTTCTTCAACGAAATTCACAAAGTCGTCTAGAATTACACGGTTTTCCTTCTTAATCAACATTATTCTATGAAGGATGTTTTTTCCTTTTGAATCTTGTGAGAGTAAGAAATCCATTCCTAATTTGCTCATTCTTTCCCTTAGAATGATTATGTTTGCTTTGTCTGTTGCTTCAATTTCCTCCCTCGTCAATATTCGTTTTCTCAGCATCTGCATCATTAATCATTAAGGAGTTAGGTCCTGTTCACTTTACCTTACAGAAATAATATTAAGTAAAAAATAATTTCAGCTTCAACACAATAAAAATAAGGTTAAGTGAACAAGGCCTTATTATATTCTTCTATATATATACTGAATATTTCATAGTGGTCGTTTGAAACATAAATGTCATAATTAGAACAAATATGTTCAAATATTATTCTGCGTATACTACTCTATTATTAGAAAGTGTAGCTACTATCCACCACACTGGCTACACTGCAACAATATTTACTCCATTTGTTCCAAAAATAAATATATCAGTTGACTTTTTGTATTATTCAAATATATACTTTGACCATAATTTTTTACTAAAATAATAAAATATAGCATAAATGAATAATATGTCAATTAAAGGGATACCTTTATTTTGAAATAGAGGGAGTAATAATAATGAATATTTCATACCTGAAGCACATCTTGTTGTTGTATAGCAGAAGCTGCTGAGATACCCTCCATATTATTGATATTGAGTTTCGCCGAGGATTCAAGTAAAAATCGCACCATATTTATTTCCATATTCTTCGCAGCAACATGTAATGGTGTATTTCCATGGTGATCCTGATGATTTCTCAAGGCATACATCTCCTTACGATTAAGCAAATTCAATGTTTCATGGTAGTTTGGGATTTTATTGATCAAAAGGTGTAAGATGGACTTGCCAGTATTATCACACACCTCCGCAGATTGCGGACAATTATCCAGTATTAACTTCGTGAACTTTAGATTATAAGGTGTGATGAGTGTTGCTACTCGATGAAGAGGAGTCAATCCTTTTGCATCAGGAAAACATGTAACGTTACTCGCTTTCTCAACTAGAAGTTTTATCATGACTGACATATCTTCTTGCGGCGCTGATCGGATTGTTAGAGCTGCTCCTCCTTCGTGTAGTGGTTGTTGCACTCTAGCCATTATTGATTCACTCACAGCTAGATAAACGCAAATATACACAACACAAATTAGCTTCAAAAAAGTGCCAAAGTATAAGAGCTTCTTGATAATTTTTAGATATTTTGTTTACTTCCTCTGTGTTTAAATTGTTAGTGGATTATCTCAACCAAAAGCTTAAACTGATAGTTGAGTCATAGGAATATGTTTTATACTTTATCACGCCCCTTCACACAGGAGCCTGTTGGGCTTAAAGTGTGGATGTGGCAATGTAGCATAGGCCCTCCTCATACCATTCCTTTTGAAAGTTGGAAGGGGGGGGGGAAGATGAGATTTAAACCCGTGACCTGATACTGCATTAGTTCAAGCTCATGGTTAAGGCTCAAAAATATGTTTTATACTTTATCATAAATCAATGAAACTTGTCATGCTTATTACACAAAACGCCTATTCAATCAATCACAAATAAACAAAGGGAGAATATACAAGTAACTTACTATAATTAACATGTTGTTTGATTGCAAGATGAAGTGGTGCTTCCTTTGACTTGTTGACAATAGAAGCTAAAGAAGGATCTTTCTCCAACAAAAATTTACCAATATTGACATTTTCATGGATAATAGCAACATGAAGAGGAGTATTACCTCTAAAGTTTTGGACTTTCCAAGGTGTCTCACCTACATACCCTTCAATCCTCTCTTCAATATAATCATAAATTAAGCTCATTATCAATAAATTACCTACCTCAGCAGCAATATGATGAGGGTTGTTTTCTTTGGAATTCCCACTAATTATCTCACTAATTGTAAATTTTTCTAGACATGCTTCTATGAAATCATGTTGTTCATGTCTAATTGCTATGTGAATGATGTTATTTTTTTCGTAGGTTTTCCTAAGTAAATACTCTTTACTCTTTCCTTCTCCAAGGAACTCTACATCACCATTCGCGGCTGCCAAGTAGAGCTCCTTCCCCATTTCTACGGCCTCTGAAGTTGTCATGGTTTCTTATTATTTTTCAAACTAGTAGTAATTTGGGGTGTTCTTTTAGGTTGCTCTATTGGTTTACTGATGAAGGCAATTTATAGACTCCAATCTTGTAGGAGTAAGTGAATTAGTGTAATAAATAAAATTAATTAAAGACTCAAAATTTACTTACATGTTATTGATTTAGAACAACCGATTAATTAGACTACAAGCAAGCCAAGCTAAATCATGTTACTAATATAATAATAGTTGCAGTCTAGCAATAGTAGTATAGTATTGTTAATTAAATGATTAATTGACAAGTTAAAATTAAATAGAGTATTTTAATACCAAGTAGTTTGTTGATTATTCAAAATTAAAAGCAGTGGTTATTGCTAAAATAATGGAGTGTAAATTGTCAGCCCCCAAAGTTACTACTTGTAAGTTGTATTTTACATGTGTGAGTTGTGTCTAGAAAGCTATTATATACTCTATAATATTTAACTTAACAACTTTTGTCAATGGATTTTGCTAACGAACGCCCCCGGAGCGTTGGATAAGCATTTAAAAATATTACGTAAAATGGTATTAGTTTGGATAAGCATAACAAAATCACGTCGGCGCGGGACGTTCGTTAGCTTTTGCCTTTGTTAATATATAATAATAATAATAAAATGTAAATACTCGATCATCTGCAGAATACTCTCTTCAACTCTAAAAGTTTCATCTCATTCAAGATTCAACACAATAAATTTCTCAAAAGCAGTCAAACCATATGAATATAAGTTTAAGAAACTTAAAAAGTAGTAATTCCTATTTGTACGTACGAGACTCTTTAACTTCTATATATTACTCAGAAAAATACTACAATCATGCGAAAACTTGTTAGCTTAGATTAAATTTATATATTTTAAAAAAACTTTTTTCTAATAAATATAATTACTGTTTACTATAGAAAAAGTTATAGGTTGAGTACATATATTGACAATCATGACATTCAAACCTCACTAGTATTTAAAAAGAATTCATTAAATCAAAATGACATGACGAAAGGCAAAAGGGTCAGCATGATGTGATACACACCTTCACATACAAGTAAAGTAGATTAAACCAACATCTCCCTCAATAGTTGCATACATTATTCATACATGATCCAAATAAATCTCACTTGATAAAAATGGGTAATTTAGTAATCACTTAGTCAACTTCATCTTCTTAACAAAAATTATTGCGGGAGTATTGATATTTAATCATAATGATTTGAGCCAATGCGGATCAGACTTTGTGAGCCCTAGATGAAGTCTGGGTAAGTCTTTTTTATTATGGTAAAAGAGATATTAGATCATGCCATGGACATGCGGAAGTAGTAGTATAAATGGAGCCACATGATAAGATTAAGGAAATTGACTATAATATACAACGTCATAATAATATATTCCTGAGTATTAAAGTATTCCCTCCGTCTCATAATATAATTCTTATTGTGTTTTTTTACAATATTTAAGAAGTGGGAGGAGATGTGGAAAAAAATCATTAAAAAGAGAAAAAAAAAAAAAAAAACTGGACAAAAGTTAAAAAAAACAAAAAAAAAAAAAACAAGTGGATAATTTAGGGGGGGTGGGGGGGGAAGTGAAAAGTACAATAGACAAAAGTGTGATAGAGAAAGTAAAGAAATAAAATTAAAAATGTAAGTAGAAAATTTAAGGGTAAATTAGAAAGTTTAATGAATAAAATTAAAAAAATGAGAATAAAATTGTCTTTAAATACTATCCAAAAATAGAAACATGATAACATTTTGGATCTCTAAAATAGAAAAATAGGAACTATATTATGGGATAGAGGGAGTAAAAATTCTAAATTAAGGCAAACTTTTATTAAATTATTATAATACGTACAGTTTAAATACAACTTATGATTAGAGGTATCAAAAGTTGACCCGACCCGAAACATCGACTCAAACCCGATTATTAACCGACCCATCTGAACCGGGCAATAAAAATTTTATAATACTCCGTAAAAAAGACGATTAAAAATAAGGACACCAGTTAAACAGGAACACATTTATTATAAAAATAATATAAAAGATATAGAATTATATTATTATAGTGGTATTAATATACAAATATTAAAAAAAAAATGACTAAAAGGGAGAGGGAGTTTTGGAGGCAAAAAATAGCACCAGGATGTGACACACGTCACTTTCGGTGTCTGCTTTAGTATTAAGTTATTGAATGATTGATTATTGATGATTAATTTGTTGAACGTCTTAAAACAATAGAGGTGAAAAGTTCGGTTTGGGGTGTGGTTTATATCCCAAATTAAAACCAAACTATATTAAATCGGTTTGGAACATATTATTATTTGGTCCAAACCAAATCACACCGTTTTAAAATTTGTTTTCAAAACAAAAATCAAAACCAAACCGAATCGCACTTTTTTGGGTCACTGTCCTGAGATTTGATCTGTGACTTTTTTTTGGACCGATTCAACATAACTTGTTTTTTTCTTATACAATAGAGCTAAAATCAGATTTGGCTATAATTTAGATACGGGTTTATATTTTGGTTTGATGTTTGATTTTTCAGTTTTTTCAAATCCTAAAACTGAAACCACACCGCAAATCACAATTTTTTTTTTATATCTCATATTGCTCCAAATTATATTAGCAAAAAAAACTAAATCTAATTTCGGTTTAGTTTACGGCTCGATTCGGTTTTGTTTTTAAACCATACTCCCTCCGTGTTTTTTTAAGTGATACATATTGACCGGCATCTAGTTTTAGACAATTTAATTGACTTAAATAAAATAAGAGGTAAGTGGGGTATTGGAGTATTAAAAAATTGTTAAAGAAAGATAGTGGGGTTAATAGTTTATTGAAAAGTAATGAATGTGAGAGGAAAGATATAATAAAAAAGTAGTAGTGGGTTTGGGTGGGGGCCATGAGAGGAGAGAAATATAATATTTTAATGTATTGTTTTGCCAAAAAAGAAAATGTATCAGTTAAAAAAACACGGCCGGAAATGGAAAATGTATCACTAAAAAAAACACGGAGGGAGTATTAATTTTAGGGACTTGTTATTCATCGCCCGCAAATCTCTACATAAAGCCCACATTTTATAATTTTTTGACAAATTTGCCCTTTTTATAATTTTAACGGAAGATAAATTTTTCGCACTAAAAAAATGTGGAGCAGCACCGGATCGCCGAGGATCACCGGAGAATCGCCGTCGTCATCGGAAAACGAGGTTCGTAACGCATCGTAAGGACGAAATGGTGGCTGGCGCCTAGCCAAAAGGCCATGCCGTGGTTGTGGCGCCTAGCCAGGACGCCGCCACCGTGGTCACGGCGCCTGGTGGAGAAGCCTCGACCATAGTAGTGGCGCGTGGCCAGGACGCCGCAGCCACGGCCAAGGCGCCTGGCCAGGACGCCGCCACCATGGCGGCGGCGTCCTGACCAGGCGCCCCGGCCGTGGCTCCGGCGTCCTGGCCAGGCGCCAGTAGGGGAATATATTTTTTTTTTTTTTTTTTATTTTTTAATTTAATCCCCTTTTTTTTTTTTTTTGTTTGTTTTTGTTAATTTAATCTTAATGTAATTATATTTATACGTTATATGTTATTGTTACAGGATTATGGTGGAGACGGAAATGATTACAGTGGGATTTTTGTACATGATGGCCTGTTCGAAGATGCTCAACAAGCGATTGATTGGGCAAAACAAGTTGCAATTAGATCAGGCTTTTGTTTAGTAGTAGCAACTCATAAATCTCAACGGGATGGTAGAATGGATCGCATTTTGAGATGCGACCGTTATCGCAAAAGAGAAGAACGAGATTTCAGTAAAGCGATTCGGTTTGACTCAAAGCGGAAAGGTTGTGGGTGTCAGTTCCGAGTTAAGGTTCGACAACATCAAAGGCGTGACGGTTGGGAAGTGAAGGGTTACGGCAAATGGGGATATCACAACCATGAGCTGATAGCATACAAAGTGGGGCATCGGCAGTTAAGCGGCCTAAGTCCAGCTGCGAAACTAGTTGTAAAAGAAATGAGTGATGCTCAAGTGAAGCCCGCTAAAATATTAGCGTCTGTGTTAGAGAAATTCCCCGAAGACCAGCCAAACCGAAGACACATCTACAACGTCAGACAGAAATTGAGGTTTGAACGGTCAGAGGGAAGGAACCCTATACAGCAGCTTCTGCACCAGGCACAAGCACGTGGTTACCTTTACTGGTTTGAATCTGACGAAGACACATCGGAGGTAACTCATTTGTTCCTTGTCCATCCTGATTGTGCTGATATGATTTCGTCTTGGCCATCTGTGATTTTGATCGATTCAACGTACAAGACAAACAAGTACAAGTTCCCACTGGTTGAGATGGTTGGGATGGCTCCAACGAACCAGAACTTTCTGATTGGTTATGCAGTCATGAAGGATGAGACGGCTGCGAGTTACCGTTGGGTGTTGGAAAAGTTGAGAAACTACATCGGCCCAAATGTACAGCCATCGGCCATCGTAAGTGATTGTGAGGGAGGTCTTTTTGCCCCTATAGCGGAGCTGTTTCCGGAGTCGAGCCATTTACTGTGCACATGGCACATCAACAACTGCGTGAAAGTCAAAGCCTACAACCTTTTCAACAAGAACTTAGATTCAGCAGAGAGATTGGTAAATGGTAAGTGGCGGAAGATCCTGCAAGCTACCACGGAGGCAGAGTACGATCGAGCCTTGGAAAACTTAAAGGATGCGTACAAGTGGTGCCCGCCAATCGTAGACTATGTGATGCATCAGTGGGTACCTCAGAGGGAAAAGTTTGTCAAATATTGGACGAACCAAGTTCTTCATTTTGGGAACACTACGACATGGAGAGTCGAGAGCGCTCATAGAGCTTTGAAGGACTGGATTGATTCTTCCACGGCTGCTCTGGATACACTGTTCGAGAGAATAAACAAGGCTATTGATACTCAGAGGAACGACATCAAGAACTATCTCGAGGACTCCAGACGACGACATGGCATGTTGTATGGCCATTTCATATTTAAGATTCTCCACGGTCGTGTGTCACACCACTGTTTGGGGTTGATTCTGAGCGAGTATACCAGGATGAGGGAGTTGGGCGATG